ACTTTTCAGAGGTTTTTGAGGGCATCAGAAAGACTTAAATAGGCCGAAATTGTTGACATTCAAACGGACACTGGATTTATGGGCTTGCATAACACGAATCATTACCAAAGACCTAGTTGATGTTGGCTGATGAAGCAAATAAGATGGGGATCGATAACAGAGCGACTGAAGCTGAAATATGAGCGATATACGTATGTGACACTCGTCACTAATTACAATACGGCTCTTTTATACCTTAGAGAAACATCCTACCTGCCCAAGCAGTTTCCTTTTTTACCACAGACACCATTGTTCTCAGGCTCCTGATGCGGGGTGTGGTATCCATGGTTCTCAGGCTCCTGCTATGGGGGTGATACCTATTGTTCTCAGGCTTCTGATGTGGGATGTGCCACCCATGATGCTCAGGCTCCTGATATGCGGTGTGCCACCCATGGTTCTCAGGCTCCTGATGTGGGGTGTGCCACCCATGGTTCTCAGACTTCTGATGTGGGGCGTGCTACCCATGGTTCTCAGGCTCCTGATGTGGGGCGTGCCACCCATGGTTCTCAGGCTCCTGATGCGGGGTGTGGCACCCACGGTTCCGTCACGCCGATGGTGGCCGGCTTAGAGCTGCCTTTCCAGGACATGCACTTTAGTTAACCAATGAAATCGAGAGTGCTTATTATTTTTTCACCCCTACAGAACACGTTATAATAGTCACTGCAACTCGACCCTGTTCGTCCTGCTTTTGCCACAAGCACAGGAGCTTTGTGGCTCACTCCCGAACCCACTTCTGTGCGGCCGCGCCACAACCTCCTGCTCGAACTCTAACTCACTGTGGTTGGTGTTCACACCGGGCGCACAGGCTCTCCATCAGCGCTGACATTTGCGCGATGCTGCGGCAGGGTGGGGCGGGCGCGGCGGCGTCGGCGGCCGGGCGGGCGCCTCCACTGCCGCGGTGGAGGCCACACTGTCGCTCCAGCGCTGCCAGCCCTCCTGGCGGCGTCGGTGACAGGGCAGACGGCGGCGGGATGCCCGGTCAAGCAGCCTGTCGTCACCGCGGCAACACGGCCGGAACGTCTGGTCGCTCACAGCTTACACACACACACACACACACACACACGCGCGCGCGCAGACCAAGAGGTTCGGTGTCGCTGCAGCGTTACCGGTGCAAAATGCACTCTTTTGCATAGGTCGGTCCGCCGCTGGTCACTGCCTACGCCCCATGGGAAAACGTCCAGTCCATGCGCCAGCAACGCTGCCTTCTGTCTGGTTGCCAACTCTGCGGCGCGGAGATTGTCTGGTTGCCAGCTCTGCAGCGCGGGGACTGTCTGGTCGCCAACTCCGCGGCGTGGGGATTGTCTGGTCGCCAACTCTGCGGCGCGGGGATTGTCTGGTCGCCAACTCTGTGGCGAGGGGATTCTCTGGTCGCCAATTCTGCAGCGCGGGGATTGTCTGGTCGCCAACTCTGCGGCGCGGGGATTGTCTGGTCGCCAACTCACGGGCGCGGGGATTGTCAGGTCGCCAACTCTGCGGCGCGGGGATTGTCTGGTCGCCAACTCTGCGGCGCGGGGATTGTCTGGTCGCCAACCCACCGGCGCGGGGATTGTCCGCGAGCATTTCCGCACACACGTGAAAGGAGGTCCCCGGAGGTCCCACATCCACGTGTGAGAGGAGACCCCGTGAGTTCCACTGCCACGTGTGAGGGGAGGTCCCGTGGGTCACACTGTCACGCGAGAGATGAGATCCCGTGGGTCCCATTGTCAAGCGTGAGAGGAGATCTCGTGGGTCCCACTGTCAAGTGTGAGAGAAGATCCCGTGAGTCTCACTGTCAAGCGTGGGAGGAGGTCCCGTGGGTCCCACTTTCACCCAGTGAATACTCAGCGGATGCCACAACCACGCGAGAAGTAGGACATGCGTGCACTCCCCCGTACAGCGAGCGCCTCTTCTCGAACGCTCCTCAGGTTCTCAGACTGTCTCGTACTGGTGGTCGCACGTCGCCGTTTCACAGTTTTACGGCTAATAAACTGCCGACCGAGGTACGACGAATGTCTGGCGCTGCGTTGGTGACGCTGCTGGATGGTAGGGCGTGCTGAGAGCTTTGTCGACCAAGCTTTTCTCGGATTCGATTACTCCGAGACGATGGTCTAAATGACTCAAGTCGGATCTGAGGGACACATCCCGTTCACTGGCTGGGACGGGTAACGGCTGCGACGCCCGGTCTTGGCACTTTTCCCGACCGGAGGGCTCCCCGGCGCGAGCTCGGCACTTCTCCGGACCGGAGGGCTCCTCGGCGCGAGCTCGGCACTTCTCCCGACCGGCTACCACAAGCCTCAAGCCACAAGCCTGAGCTGTAACGCTGTCTCGGCTCCCACACCGCCTACCGGTCGGGGAAGGGGGAGGGGGGGGGGGGGGGGGGAGTCCTACCGGCAGACGAGCTCTGCTCGTACGCTGAGGTATACGAGTCTGGTGTTCAGCGCTAAGCTGCTATCTCAGCGGTGCCCCGCCGACCGCGAGAGACTGTGATGAACCAAGGAAACATAGATGACGAATTTTCTCAAGACGCCGGTCAAAAAGACTTTAACAGCGTGTAAGAGTGCAGTAGGGCTATTGCGTGACGTGGGACTTATGTGACAATGCAGTGGGGCCATTCGGACCTAAGATAAGAAGTTGGTAAACGTGGGTAGGTGGTGGGACAGCCGTCGGAAAGTTCGTTACAAAATACCCGGACTGACGCCGTTGTGTTGCGTAGGACCGTCGTGAAACACCTTGGTGCTTGCGTGGTACAACTTGGCAATTTGTGACACGGCTAGGACGTTTGCTTGTCAAACATTTGCGGGACAATGGTGTGGAACCTTTACTGGACAATTGCTGGCATTGACGGGACATTTGTGGAACCTTCGGCAAGGGCGTGGGAATTAGGCGTGCCAGGGAGACCAAACCATCAACTTTCTGAAAATCTTGCATTGTCCGTATTGGCATTGACTGAAAAGACCAGGACCATTGACTGAAAAGACCAAGACCATTGACTGGGAAGAAAAGTCCCTAGCTTGGGAGGGCTTTATGGCGTAGGACTGTGGAATCGTTAATGCGACTGGTGGGATCTCTGCCGGACTGCCGCAGGCCAGTTGTATAGCAGACCTGCTCGGCACTCGCGGAACGGTTGTGGAATTTTCGCAAGACGACCACGGACCTGCGGCAGCCCGTCGCCGGGTGGTGGGGTCTATGTCTGTCCATCTCCGTGTGGTACCGGTCCATCGCCGAGTTGTGCCGGTCCACCGCCGGGCGGTGCCGGTCCGTCACCAGGTGTTGCCGGTCCATCGCCGGTTGGTGCCGGTCCGTCGCCGGACGGTGCCGGTCCTTCGCCGGGTGTCGCCGGTCCGTCACCGGGCGGTGCCAGCCCGTCGCCGGGTGCTGCCGGTCCGTCACCGGGCGGTGCCAGCCCGTCGCCGGGTGTCGCCGGTCCGTCGCCGGGTGTCGCCGGTCCGTCACCGGGCGGTGCCAGCCCGTCGCCGGGTGTCGCCGGTCCGTCACCGGGCGGTGCCAGTCCATCGCCGGTTGGTGCCGGTCCGTCGCCGTGTGGTGCCGGTCCGCGGTGACACCGGCCCGCCCCCCACCCGGCCGGCAGCTGGCGCACGGCTGTGTGGTTGGCGGCAGATGAGTGAGCTCCGCTCGCTGACAGGCGGCCGCCCGCGGACCGGCGACCTGTCACCGGCCGGCACCACTCACCGGGGGAGGGGGAAGGCGGAGCCGGCCGCCCCTCACTTCCACCGACGACCGGCTGCTAACTTTGCTCTGGTATTTGCGGTACAAATCGCTGCAGACGCATGCCGGCTAGGATTAATGATTGCGAACGATTTGAGGGCAGGACGGAAGAAGGAGGCACACAAATCTGTGGTACGTTGAATTTGAAGCATAACCACGGGGTCATGCCTTGCGGAGTATGAACCGGCGGTTATCCTCCGCGAAAACCGCGGTCATGCTCCGCGGGAGGACTCGCATGACCCAGCGGTCATGCTCCGCGGAAGGTCTCAAATGACCCAGCGGTCATGCTCCGCGGCAGGACACGCATGACCCAGCGGTCATGCTCCGCGGGAGGTCTCACATGACCCAGCGGTCATGCTCCGCGGCAGGACTCACATGACCCAGCGGCCATGCTCCGCGGGAGGTCTCACATGACCCGGCGGTCATGCTCCGCGGGAGGACTCACATGAACCAGCGGTCATGCTCCGCGGCAGGACTCACATGACCCAGCGGCCATGCTCCGCGGGAGGTCTCACATGACCCAGCGGTCATGCTCCGCGAGAGGGCTCGGATGACCCAGCGGTCATGCTACGCTTGACAGCGGTGCTTATCAAGGAAAAATGGTCTGACAGCCATTTGTTTAGCCGCTCAAATACCTCGACGTTCTCGGCGAGGCTGTGTTTGCAATGCAATGCATAGAACGAGCTGTTGAGACAGCGGTGATTTTAGCAGAGGTCAACAATACGACGCGTAAGCTGGAGGAGGGAAATAATATTTTTACGGCGTGATGTCCATTCCGTGCCAGCATCAGTCTGTCATTTGTGCACCAAGCTGCGAACCTTTTCTTAATGGCAAACCTCTAAAATTGGTTGCTATGTCGAGCCATCAAAACAATGCACGCGGGATGATTTGCACGACATAGAGAATGTTATCGACTCGACCTTCTGCCGTTACTTAAAGTATCCTACTGACCTGACATACCCAATGACCTGTCATACCCAGAGACGCCGACCCGCCCCAGTGACCGGACCTGACCTTCCCTTACCTATTGGCATGACCCGTCTTACTGACCTGATCTTCCTTATTGACCTCATCTGCGTTGCTGATTTGACATACTGTTTTGACCTGACCCTCCGCAGACTCCGTCCACATCGTGGACTGCCCGCTGAAGCTGATCCTGGGCCTGCTACTGACCTGACCCTCCGCAGACTCCGCCCACATCGTGGACTGTCAGCTGAAGCTGATCCCGGGCCTGATATTGACCCGACCCTCCGCAGACTCCGCCCACATCGTGGACTGCCAGCTGAAGCTGATCCTGGGCCTGATATGGACGCTCATCCTTCACTACAGCATCTCCATGCCCATCTGGGAAGGCGACGACGACCTGGACAACGGCGAGGACAAAGGGCCCACTCCCAAACAGAGGTCAGTGGTGATGATGCCTGTATGGACACTAATCAACATGCCTATGACCTATCCGCGCTCGTACCCATACACCTGGCAGCTAATACATGGAGGAGAGCCGTGGAAATGGAGCTAAAGAGGAGCTCACCCATGTGTCAGCTGCTACGCGCATCTTTCGGGTAAAGTATTAAAATGAAAGCATTTAAGCCTGCCAGGAAAATACGCTACGTAAGACCTCCATAAAATGTAAGGCTCGTTCACATCTTATCGTACTTGGTGCGATTGTACAGGCCTGCAGTCAGCAGACTCCGAGTCGCTGCTACAGCGTCGGTTGAGGCCGTGACAGCCTGCCCTGCGTCCACAGGCTGCTGAACTGGGTGGGGGCCAAGATGCCGCAGGTGCCCGTCAGCAACTTCACCTCTGACTGGCGCGACGGCAAGGCCATCGGAGCCCTGGTGGACGGCTGTGCTCCAGGTCAGTGATGCAGTGTGACTCCAGGTCAGTGGTGCAGTGTGACCCCAGGTCAGTGGTGCAGTGTGACTCCAGGTCAGTGGTGCAGTGTGCCTCCAGGTCAGTGGTGCAGTGTGACCCCAGGTCAGTGGTGCAGCGTGACTCCAGGTCAGTGGTGCAGTGTGGCTCCAGGCCAGTGGTGCAATGTGGTTCCAGGTCAGTGGTGGAGTGTGACTTCAAGCCAGAGGCCAGTGGTGCATTGTGGCTCCCGATCAGTGGTGTAGTGTGACTCCAGGCCAGAGGCCAGTGGTGCAGTGTGGCTCCAGGCCGGTGGTGCAGTGCGGCTTCAAGTCAGGGGCGCAGTGTGACTCTAGGTCAGTGGTGCAGTGCGACCCTAGGTCAGTGGTGCGGTGTGAATCCAGGCCAATGGTGCAGTGTGACTCGGAGCCAGTGGAGCAGTGTGACTCCAGGTCAGTGGTGTAGTGTGACTCCAGGCCAGAGGGCGGTGGTGCAGTGTGCCTCCAGGCTAGTGGCCAGTAGCTCCAGGCCAGTGGTGCAGTGCGGCTTCAGGTCAGGGGTGCAGTGTGGCTCTAGGTCGGTGGTGCGGTGTGAATCCAGGCCAGTGGTGCAGTGTGACTCGCAGTCAGTGGAGCAGTGTGACTCCAGGTCAGTGGTGCAGTGTGACTCCAGGTCAGTGGTGGAGTGTTGCTCTAGGTCAGTGATGCAGCGTGACTCCAGATCAGTGGTGCAATGTGATTCCAGGTCAGTGGTGCAGTATAGCCCCAAGTCGGTAGGCCAGTGTGACTTCAACTGAGAAAGTGGCATGAAACCAATTGCTCGGGTCGCGTATGCGATGGCATCATACATATCCGCCCAAATACGAAGCCGCCTTGGTGTCGATCTCACCTTCCGCCGGCCGCCCACGGGCCGTTGATGGTCTGTTACCAAATGGCTCAGGAACCAGCGACAGCCCACGCTGCGGGGGCCGCCCATTTTGCACGGCTCAATCTCTGATCAGATACTCGATCGAGCCCAGCACACACGACGCTGAGATAACGGGTGCCGTCGGCCGGGCGGCGGCACGTGACTGCGGAGATACCCGACTCCTACGGAGTGACGTCCGCTGCTCAGGCAGGCATGCGTACTGCGAGAGGGCATGCACAGGGATCCAGCAGGTGTGTGCTCTCATAGTCACGTGGGAAAACGAGCGCAAACGAGGGCTCCCATGTGCTCGAGAAGAAGGGTTAGATTGTCAGCTCTTGCTGAGGATGATGAGAAAATTTCACGCAATGGTCTTATTTATTTCAACTGGTTTCGACTATGTAGGATTGGCAATATGTCAACTGATAAACTCGACAAGGTTACTTTTAGCTAGGCTGTTTATTCAACACAAGCGAGCCGTCTGTTCTCCAACAAAAGCCAAGGCTCCTAAAACGTGTTATGTCATGATCATTCAGACATGATGCTCCAAAGAATGTAAAATGTTTTCAAACATTTTGCGTGATGTGTGCAAATACGGTTTCTGTGCGTCTGTCTCTAGCTGTATTTTTCACAATCTACACTGTTAATTAACACAAATGCACGTACAAGGAGCCGCTCCCTTGGTTACCGTTGACGTATCTCGCGAGCAAGCGCCAGTTGTCACATATGACGTACGTGTAACGTCCCACGCGCGACGCCATTATGCGTCTCAGGAGAATCGCTCCGCGTATCAGCCACTGTGGCACTCCCATAATGGCACCATTTCTGTCCCACCCAAACACAGCCGTCCTAAAGCTTAGTTCATAACTGTGATGATACCCGAGCTCACTTTCAAGTGATGCTTTCACAATATCTGTCCAAGTTTTGGCGGTGCCTCCAGCGCAAAAGCCAAGAACTGTCTGCGATTGCAGATGTCAAGAGTTCACGACTGCCTTTGGTGAACGGGTAGCTCCTGTCTCGACTTGTTTCGTGTTTAATCTTACGCTATTGCGTATATACACATCTACTGAAAGGCTGGTATCTTTCAACCATTGCAACGAATATTCTGAGTGTTCCATCCGCCTTGAAAGGTACAGTAAATTAAAGCACGTTTCTCCGCGCGTGACATACCAAAGCTCCACCACATCCGGTACCTACGCCCACATCCTCCCACCATCACATGATAAGGGTTAAGATCCCCTTACATACCAGAGCTCCACCACATCCGGTACCCACGCCCACGTCCTCCCATCATCACATGATAAGGGTTAAGATCCTCTTACTGCCCGTGTGTGTCGCCAACATTGGAGCTGTGCAACGTACAAAGCTGCTAAGCTGCTATATGGCGTCAGCGTTCTCAGACCTGGCATAGAGGGCGGATACTGCGGGAAACTGAACCCCGTACCCCTGGTATCTCAGAAGCGCGGTGGTTGATGCAGACGCGTTAACCACTACATTATCCTGCACGTGTGTGAGCCCATTGCAGTGTGCTCACCCAATATCAAATCAGCTCAATATACTGATCACTATAATCCCTTATCACAATAGTGCATATTGTGCAGCTCATCTTAACAACTCCAAGGGCAGCGAATACATATTGGTTGCACGATACCAAATACGCGACCCGTTGGCCACAGTTTTTAAGCTCGAAAGAGCTAAATTAGTGTTTTAACGACCATGCCGTCGAATACTGAGGAGGCTTCTTGTTATCGGGCGTACAGGCGTAGACATAAACATAGACATATGCATGCAGTTGGTATGATCGTTGAGAAAGCAAAACATAGGAGGTGCGAGAAGTATTTGACATTGGTGTACACTGCACAGACTGGCTTAATGTTCCGTTTCCCCCATCATCTGCCTTCAATTTCTCTGATTCCGATTATCTGATTCTGATTATCTGATTATTCTGATTGTCTGACTCTCTGGTTGCCTGACTCTCTGATTGTCGGACCCTCTGATTGTCTGACTCTCTGATTGTCTGACTCTCTGAGTATGCTTCTGACTATTTGATTCTGATTCTGATTATTTCATTCTGATTCTGATTATTTGATTCTGATTCTGATTATTAATGCTGATTCTGATTATTTGAGTCTAATTCTGATTATCTGATTCCGACTATCTGATTCTGATCCTCTGACTCTGATTATCCGAATCAGGTTCTCTGATTCTCCCACGCTCACTTTCTACTAACGATCGTCAAAGACCTTGCGTGCTCCACCTCCGGCAGGCCTGTGTCCAGACTGGTCCGACTGGAGGTCTGACGAGGCCCTGAAGAACGCCTCCGAAGCCATGGCTCTGGCCGATGACTGGCTGAGCGTACCTCAGGTCTGTAGATATCACGCTAATGGGACATCCCGGGGTCCCTCACTGTACAGCGCGCTGCCGGCCGGGCTGCTGTGGGTCCCTGCTCCTCTGCTTAGTAGCCACCTGGGGTGGCACCTGTTCGACGTGGCGTCTGCGTCGGACTGCCGTGTGTGTTCCCAACCGGGATGAATTTTATATGATGATGACCATGCTACGGAGTGGCTGTGGGTGGGCGTTGTCTGAGGTGACGGCGCATTTCCTGTTAAAATCTTTGCATTTAGACGAGAAGCTGTGATAGCCGTGAGCGAATTGCGGGTAACCATAATCACTGTCTAAATCTGAACCTGAATGTCTTCATCGCACGCCCGTTGTGAGCATGGAATAAGGTCATTGAACCACCTGTCTGCGTGTGGTGGTTCCCCCCCCCCCTATAACTGCTGAATACTGCTCGCCTCCACGGATTGCCTCCTTTACAGTGTATCGAAACAATTTGACGGCAGACATCCGGTGGCTTGTTTGACTTTAGTCCGAAAATATTCTTGAAAGACAGCTGACTAAAAATTGAAAGTTTCCAAAACATTCTTGGTCCACGTCAATCAGACTCACAGTTCCGTGCGATAAAGCGATCACTGGGCACCACGCATCGGTGAAAGGCCACCGTCTCTTTTGCCTTGCCTATCGTTGAAAGCCCGTTACCATCGGACAGTGGCCCTGGCCGCCACGCATGCTCGGGCCACTGACCTGAGACCTGAGCCTGTTAGGCTGCCGCCTCCGAGTGTGTGTGCGTATGTGTGTGCGTGTGCATTGGCGTTGGCGTGTGTGTGTGTGTGTGTGTGTGTGTGTGTGTGTGTGTGTGTGTGTGTGTGTGTGTGTGTGTGTGTGTGTGTGTGTGTGTGTGTGTGTGTGTGTGTGTGTGTGTGTGCGTGTGTGTGTGTGTGTGCATGTTCATGTGCGTGCGTGTGTGCATGTGCGTGTGCGTGCACGTGCGTGCATGTGTGTGTGTGTGTGCGTGTGTGTGTGCATGTGTCAGAACGGTCCTGACAAAGCCACGGTCATTGATGTTTGCTCTGCCTGGCTAACAGACGGAAAATGCCCGACGGTAGGGGACGATATCAACGCGATGAAGGGGAGGGTGAGGCGCATGACAGTACGAACAGATGAGTTACTGTTGTCAAAACATATCGCGAAACGAAGAACTCCGCTCGTTAAGTCTTCAGACCGCACGTAAAGTTGGGAGGTGGGAGTAGGGGAGATGCCGGACGACGGGCCGGACTGACCTGCCAACGGAGTCGGACACTGCCGGCCACTGTCACGGCCAGCTCCCGTCCCTCTACCCGCAGCTGATCCGGCCCGAAGACATGGTCGACCCGAATGTGGACGAGCTGTCCATGATGACGTATCTCTCCCAGTACCCCAACGCCAGGCTGAAATCAGGAGCGCCAATCCGCACCAAGACGAACCCTGGCAGGTGAGACACACACGCACACACACACACACACACACACACACACACACACACACACACACACACACACACACACACACACACACACACACACACACACACACACACACACACACACACACACACACACACACTCTCTCTCTCTCTCTCTCTCTCTCTTTCTTTTTTTCTCTCTCTATCTCTCTGTCAGTGACAGTACCTGCTTCCTTTCTCTCTGACTTCTTATCCCTGAATCCTCCTCCACCTTCTCTTACTGGCGCTGTCGTCCTCACTTCCGCTGCATCTGTTTTTCACCTACCCCTGTCGTTCTCTCTCTCCATCTCACCACCATTTTTGCTCTCGTTCACGCTCTGTCGACACGCCTTGTGGCATATTTCACTTCTTCACAGTACCACAAAGCACTGTCACAAGCTTTGTTTTCTGTTCAACATGGTTTTTCTTGCCAACGAAGGCCTACCCTGAATGCAAGCAACGTAAGTCAGCACCGCAGCGTATATTGGTTTTGCACCCACTCCTCGGTCCACAGGAGGCATGTGCTCGATTCACCCTCTCGTGATTCGAATAGGCGAGTATACCGTATGGTATGTGCGAAACGTTTGTGGCAAAGTGGGTGTTCTTATCCGGGGACCAAAAATATAGCTCGAAAAATTTTATCAATTCGCTGCCAAGCTGACAGGCGTGGGGCCACCCGCAAATAGTTGATTTTCAATCAACGTGTTTTGTGAATTCACGCGCGGATACCAATAATACGAATACGCGAATACCACCATACGATAATATTTCGCAGTGAACATTTGTCAGCTGAACTCTTATAACAGGTTCATTTTCCAACATATCGACCATACTGTTGGTCTGAATTTTCGAAAGTGCTTGGCCCTATTGTCTTTGGCTGCCAGATCATCCACTGAACAATCAAGCACGTGACGATCAGTCAGGTGGTGCCTCTTAACAATCATCACGTCTGTGATCGCCACGCTCCTCTCCAGCCACACTCAGCGTCGTCCTAGACGATCGGACAGTTGTTATCTGGAGCGGTCCTGCCGGGCTTCACAGTGACCCGCTCTGGAGATTAACGCCTTTGCGACCACTGGTCGCGGTTTCACGCAACCTCAACACCAGCGCGTCCAACTCTTCAAAAGCTGTGTTACATGCATTTTAAGACGTTAAAATACACCTGCTAACTAAGCTTTTATTAAAACATTGCAGCTGGTTTGGAAACGTTGTCTAATCCCCATCAAGCTGCATAGCACTCAAGGTCAAAACTGGGCCCAGATCTCCACGGCTCGTAGTCGCAGTGAGGCGGAAGCAACGCATGTCGACTGAGAACGAAGTGGACGATCATATTGATAGAACTATGACTCGCTGTGTCCAGCTAGTGGAAACACGTTCAAGTGAAAACCATCGGTTTGCTCGTATTTCGGACGTGTTTAATGCCAGATATCAAATAATGACAACGGAAGAGGATATGTGAACCCCTACCATTGCAGCTAAACTTCCCGTTCGGTTGCCAATAACCCAACTGTCACATCTTAGGCGATTGCATTGTCATGGGCGAAAAAGACAATATCGGCTAATCTTGCAATGTGTGTGGGCCATATTTTCGCATGCGTTTAGTCTTCACCGATTCGCAGCGACGGTAAGAGAACAACGCTAAGTACCCTCGCGGGAGTGCTTGCTGCCGCCTGACAATCGTTTGACACCAGCTGACCATGGCGGGTGCGAGGGGGGGGGGGCAGAGGGGAAGGACGTCGGGGACCCAGGCGACCAGGCGACGGCCAGGCGACCGTCCTGTCGGCACCGTCACCGATCTGTCGTGATGAGCTCACGCCGGCGCCTCCGCCGTCCCGCCGGCCGTCGCCGCCACGTTCCACTGCCGCGCGCGCCGCGAGGCTCGCTGAGTCAAACGCCGGCGCGGCGCGTCCGTATCTTATCATCCGGCGCCGCCGCTGTCACGTGGCCATCCGCCGCCAACGGCTGCCGGTCAGCTCGTCAGGTCACGTGGCCATCCACCGCTAACGGCTGCCGGTTAGCTCGTCAGGTCACGTGGCCATCCGCCGCCAACGGCCGCTGGTTAGCTCGTCAGACCACGTGAGAGCTGCAGATGGAGCTAGCTGCTTTATTTGTCACCGAGCTGAGAAAATTGTGCGCCCCTGCAGTGCATGAAACAATTTCAAGGCCTTCACAGATACGCCTGTTTTCCGTTTCCCGACAAAGCTCTACAAGTAGTGTCGGAAACAAAGACCAAGCGCTCGGTTAAATTCGGACCCGGCTCCCCACACATAGTGTCATGACCTGAAATATCAGTCAGAGGGCTGCTTTAAGGTCCCTTTTATTAGGATTCTCTATCCCTATGACATAGAGCCTCTACACGGAGCCAAACAGTAGGCTCCATGTCCGTCTGAACCCTTGAGATCTATTTCCTAAGCAGGAACGAGGCCGGGGCCCACGATTTGCAATTTCGGGGCGTCTGACACAATGAGGGGCCTCTGTGTCGGTCAGGGGCCACAGTGCCTAACAGAGGTTATGTGGCGGCAAGTGGTCCGAGCTGGCCATGAACGGTGTTTAAGGGGCCCGAAAAGGAGCGAAAGATCTCTTAAGACGAAAGATCAAGGGCCCGACTGGAAGGCTAAACGGCCCAAAGGGCTGGCTGTAGGTCACATTAAGGACACCACCCGTAGGGCCGTGATCTCAAATGCCAGTAAGAGAGCCTCTTGCACTGATTGGGAACCGCTGAGAGCGAGCATTCCTCTGCTTCGGCCAGAGATCAGCAACAACGAACAGTCGACTCCGTGTCGGTTTGAGCTCTGGGGGCCACGCACCGAGCAGACAGCCGTGCCCGCGGTTTGCAATGATCGGGTCCCCTGCAACAATACAAGGCTCCTGCACCGTTTAGGGGTCTACAGTGCCGAACAAGGCATTATGTGCCAACAAGTGGCCTCGAGCCGGCAAGAGAAAGATATGGTCAACAGGGACATGGACGGGATCCTTAATGACAGAGGCCTCATTGAGGAGCATATTTACTAAACAGAGAAATTGTGCTGTCTAGAACAGCATTTTCTTCTTAAAGATATACCAATGGTATAAGTAAGCTTATTTTATCGTGTATGTCACTTGCTTGCATCTTTTGACATATTCCCATTAACGGAGCATGCAACGTATGTCTATATATGGTCAAACACATAAATATGTACACCATTATGCTCTGATTGAACAAGGAATTTACCTGTTTAGGTTTTGTGTCACTGCAAGGATTTTCACTGCGGGAAATTCAGCCTTGACCTGGCACAGTCGAAACCATTATTGACCTAGCAACATAAAGCTGCTAACCAATCTTAAGATCTCGCTGAGACCAACCCACGAGTGTTTTTGTTGTTGTTGTTAAGTTCTTTCTTTCTGAGCTGAGACACGACAGGGGGATCACATCGACACCTCTGCAGTCCGCCCTAGGAAAACGGCTAACAGGGCGAGGATTATCCCTCACCTGAAACAGGGGTGGGGGTGCGGGGGGGGAGGCGCCCTCGTGAGATTTTTTAGGATACCTCTCCGGCACGATGTTAAATCGCGTCCAAATTTTCATTGTCCGAGGGGGCACTCGTTGCGCGTGTTTTTTATACGAGAGACGTGTCCCCAGCATGTCATGTGCACGTAACGCGCGCGGCGGACGGACATTGTTACGTGAGCGAAACCATGTATAATAACCATTGCTCAAAACACATCAAAATATACGACACTTTTCTCAAATTTAGATCAGGAACGTGCCTGTTTAGGTTATGTGTCTTTACAAGGCATGATCTCGAACACGTTAACACGTGAAGCTGAAAGGTGTGCTTTTATGACAAATTTAACCTTTGACCTGGCAGGATGGGGCCAATTATGAATCTTGCAGCATGCAATATATTATGAATGGCGAAGCCTCCTTGAGAACAATCGACTAGCGTTTTCGCTAAGTTCAATCTTTGTCAGTGTAGAAATGACAGCGGGAGGGCCGCATCGACCACCCTTTCATCCACGTTGTGTAAAATGGTGAGTGGGGGCAAGGGTTAATATGGGGCCAATAAAGCCCATTATTGTCGGTTATCACTTGTCTCAAAGTTTTGTCGCCTTATCATAATTTTTTACCGCTTAGCGATGCCTTATGAAAACGCAACTTAGCGATGTCAGTTGCGTCATCAGCGAAAAGTGCCGGAGAACCTGGAGGAATTAACCAAGAAAAAACAAAGAGCGCTTCAAGATTTACACGACAGTGTCTTAATACATTGTGTTACGGTGGAATACAAGTTCAAAAACGCAGTATTGTGGGTGCTTGGGACTGGCTTGGGGGGAGAGGAAATTTGTGCTCACTCCTTTAACCTTTTCCGGGATGATAAAACATTTACTGAAAATGTGTGTTGGTTGACACAGCGCATTGAGAGGGTGTCATTGTTGACACTACACCAATTCATGTGACTTATTTCAGTCCGAGCGTCGCTGGAGGCAGGTAGGACGGAGAATGAGAAGTATTTGACTTGCTCTATGCTCTGTCTGACGTGACGAAATGCATGAAATACTAGATCTAGCCAGTTCAACCCCAGGTGTGTCGTGATAGCTAGGCGTGGTTTGTAGCTTTGGCATAAGTCTGGCATGGCACTGCTGCTACCAATACCAGCGAAACCCAGCCCATTTGGTAGCACGGTGGTGATACGCGACGACGAACTCAACGCCACGAAAGTGATGTACACACCTCTTAACCAGTTTTATCGTCAACCTCAGATGGTTCAATATTCTCTCGAACTGGAACACTGCCTGTACCTACAATCTGTACCCCGAATGCTGTGAGGTCATCTCGATACCCCACATCGGCCTTGCGGCTGCTGCTGCAGCTAGCGCCGTCCCCAGGGCCGTCTTCCCTTTTACCAATAACTGACGTTATAGGTAGCAACTCAGGCGGGTACGTTGCCAGTGGGGAACACGGCCCAGAAGGAGCGGCAGCACGTGCATGACGTCACATTCTCGAACACACGCGT